TCCCCGCTAGCTACCGCCGGTGGATTCCGCGTGGTCTGGCTGCGAGCTTCCCTGCAGCCCCGTGCTGGCCGAACCTGACACTCTTATCATTTTATCATTTTCTCCCTGTCTGTTTTCAGAAACAACTCCAGAGATTTAGTATTTCCCTTCTGTGAATGCAAAGTAAAATAATTCTCAAAGTCATTCTTCTGATTTATGATCTGGATATCTCCTTTAATTATAAAAACATCAAGTAGAAAAGTTTACAACCATTACAACTTCTTTTCCCTTGTAGTCAAGCATTTTTAATTCCATTTTCATGTCCACCGCATCTTTTTGCATATCTTCCATATCTCTTTTATAGTCTGACAATTTTTTAAAGTCCATTTTAAAATCCTTATTCAAATCATCTTCAGTTTCTGGTTTTTTCCAGTGGAATCTTTTCTTCTTCTATAACCTTTGTTAGATCCAGTTTTAGGAATAAGTCCTAAACACATTGTTCCCAAACAGATTTAAATTTTTCTGTAGTAGGACAATATTCCTGCATTATGTTAACAAATGTGTTTTCCTTTAATTACTCTCTAGTTCCCTCTAGTTAACCTTCAAAGCCCAATCTTATATTTTCTTATTTTCAGAATGGAGAGTTTCCCACTGTAAAATTTCTTACAATTACTTCCAAAATCATTAGCTATATTTTTATAACGTTCCGAACAGTCCATAGAAACTATTCTTTCAAATCCATCTAGCCCCTTAACTATTCACAGTCAATATTCTTAGCTCACTTTTGCTATTTTCTAGAAGTAAAAGTTTTTCTTTTTAGCCTTCAGACTTACTTAAATCTTCTTTCTTCCAAGATAGAAGGAGATTCTCCTGATGTGCAGCAACTTGCCTTTCAAAAGGTTTTTAATTTCCAAATAAAGCACAAATAGTAATCAAAAGAGGAAGTGAAAGCACATCCAGTGTCCTTTTGAAGGCTGGGGCTCGATGTTTCCTGCGGCTCCCAGAGTGATCACTTTGCTGAGTGGTCGCAAAAATGAGATCTCTTCATCGGGAGCCTCTGTAAGGAGTACTTGTGGGTGATCCAGACCCCCTTGATCTGGCGATGATTCCAACGAGCCAGACCTTTCGTGGGCTCCTCTCAACTGCTGTGGCCGTCGGCTCTGCTGAAACGGAGCTGTCCTCAGTCTGCCGTTTCTCCCCCAGAAGTCCAACATACCCAACTCTTTTAACCGTTCCTCCCTGAACTTGGTTTCCAGGCCTCTCACCATCCTGGTAGCTGTCTTCTGAACTTGCTCCAGTTTGCCTTTTTTTAAACTGTGGTGCCCCAAACTACATATTAATATTCCAAAGGAGGTTGGAGTAGAGCAGAATCACAAACTCTTGTGATCTGGACTCTGTGCTCCCTTAATGTACTCTAAGGGTGAAATGAGGGGGATTTGAGACCTCCTTCTCCAGGGTTTCTGACCAATATTTTGATTATGAAAATGGAAAATTAGTGGAAAAGCAGATGGATAATATAACCTGCAGCAGGGTTGGAGGATACATATAAATGCTTTTGCAAGTAAGCATTTTTTCCTCCTGAAGGTCCAGGTTATACTGAAGCACTTTAGCTCTCCCTAAGCTCTGTTTACTTCTAGTTTGCTCCATAAAATCAGTTCTGAAGAAGCTAACTTCTTACTGCTCGCTAATTTCAATCCATAGACAATAGATGTGTGGCTTTGGGTAAGACTGGGAATAAATGCTAGAGAGCACCAGTGTGGCAATTAAGGTGTTAGCCCATGACTGGGAAGATCAGCAAGTCCACCTTCACCATGGAAAGTCACTGGGTGGCTTTGGACCAGTCACTTTCTTTCAGCCCAACCTATTTCACAGGATTGTTGTTGTGGGGAAAAATCTTAACAAATAAAAGAAATACAAATAAAGTCTGTTTCTTTAGCTTTATAACCTCAGCAGAAGCTAAAGTGAAAAAGGAATCTTGTTTGCCCACATTCCTCCTTTCTGAGTTTGGTCTTTCTCCCCACTATGAACTTCTCTTATCCCCTTAACTTCTGATACTTTTACTTGGTGTTCCTTTATTGCCAGGACCCTCTTCTTTGGCTTCTTTTAGGTTTCTCTTTTATTTTAAGAGATGTCAGAACATTGGGAGAGGTCTCTGCATAAAACTTGCCAAAATTGTTGGTACAGTAATGTGCCATTATACTGACTGAATGTTCCTTCCAGCTTGTTCCAAAGGTTTGCACATAAACCTAGAGAGGTTATGTGGAATGTGGGTGGGTGGGGGAGGTGCTGACAGCCTGTTGCAGCCATGCATTTGATAGAAAATTCAACTGGGATGAAGTCAGAATGCCTCCCCTTCCCCAGTAGGCCTCTTTTCTTTCTTGAGACAGTTGTCCCTTTCTCTTTCACAGTGTGAACTTCTCAATTCCTTGAAGTCCCTCCACAAACATGTTGAGAGCCAGCAGCTGCCCCAAGAATTCAATGGGTCTCTTCCCTATTGCCATCAGGACTGGCTGCGCTTCCAAATGGTGAGGCAGGAGTGAAAACATAGCCTTTGAGGAGTCCAAAATTCCAGGAAGCCCAGATTTGTTGAAATCTACAGTTCTATGAAAAAGTATTCTCTCGTTTTTGGATTTTCTGAATCTTTGCATATTTTGCCACTGAATATTATGAGAGCCAGAGCTTGTGTATATAAGATACTAATATACAAAGTGGGGAAGGTAGTGTCAAGGAAAAACCTCATTAAACACGGGAGACAGACACACCATAAAACAAGTCACTTCAAAGAGCTTTATTGAAAGTTAGTTCAGCAAGTAAGCAAAATGCAATCAACAACATACAAGGTACTTACTTAGATACACGTTGCAATGCGGACCAGCTGGAACGAGCTGTCAGGTAGACAGCTTGACCTAGTGGTCCCGTTTACTTAGATGCAATCCTTTTTATCCTTTAAAACCGCAAGCCACAATCATGACTCTCAGGATTTTCATAATGTTCCCAGGGCTAATTTCACCACACTTTCCTGTCCCTCAGTCCCTG